TCCCGATTTTCTAATGAAGAAAACTACCCTGAGTTAGAAAATAACCAAGCAAGAATCGTTAACACAGATGAGGAAACGATCCATTCCACAGACCTGCTTCAACATTACTGGGGGACGACAGCGAGCCACCCGGCACTGTTCATGGTGCTGGAGCTGTCCAAGCCAGGGGACACTAGAGGGTGCAGGAGAGCTTCCACTTGCAGGGAAACAGCACGGCTACTGATTTGTGGGGACCAAATCCAAGGAAGGGACGTGAATAAAAGAGCAGCTGAAGAGCCAGGTAGAAAGGAGAACAGAATGCCCAGGGACCCTTCAGTGAAGAGTGCTTGTGTAAAGCCTGAGGCAATGCCAGTGCTCTTGACAATCTGCTGACCAGGTGTTCCTACAAAGGCGGCACAAGTTAGCCAAACGCCAACACCTATGTCAGCACAGGTTCACATTGCCATGCAATGTGACTCCCAGCCAGGTATCATCACTACAAATCAGCAGGCTAAAGCTCAGAAATGAATTGCTTTTCTCAAGTTCAACTGCTATTACGTGGTAAGGCTAGGCCAAAAACTCTCATGTTTACACTGCAATCTGGGGTTTAACTCCAATATTCGAGCACATGTATCGTCCCTAAATAAAGAGGCTTCCAGGTGTATTTACTTTTCTCTTTAGTGTGCTACATAATATAGAAACTAAGGTATCTTGCAACTGGCAAACAGAAGCCATACTGGTCTTAAGAATCAAGATTTGGGGAGCACTGAGACTCGCTAGTCTCTCAGCTCTAAACCTCAACTGATTGTAACATATTTTACACTGTTTAGAACAGGAGGTAAAACTACTACAAGAAAATTCTGATCAACAAAATAAGCCGTTAGAGATGTCAAAGTATGACGAAAACAGTTCTTAGAAATAGTAAAATAGTGAAAAGATAAAGCAGAACTTAGGGATTCAGAGATTAATGTCTGGACATTTTACAGAAACTGAGCCTCAGCTCCACCAATGTCTCACACAAAGCGCAGAGATTAGACTGGCACATAGACACTGACACTTACTCTAACGCTCCTTCAACTACTCGCCAAATCACATGTGTATACAGCAGTCACAACTTTCAGACGACCCTGGAGCTGCAAGATAAGGGGTTTGTCTCCTAGAGACACCAGCTAGCTCCAACTCCAGCTGCCTAAGGCCAGAAGCAGGGAGTGACCAAACTTGTCTGGTTGTCCTAGGAAACCTTTGGCACCATGGAAGGAAAATGGTGAAGCAAGACAAAATTTAGAAGGTCAATGACTGTGGAAACCACTGGCATTTTTTCTGTTTGGTGAGAATATTTTAGAGATAATGAAGGTCAACACGTGAATGCAAATGATTTTTGGTTCCATCATCAATGACACAAATGGTAATACACTTTAACTTACTGGCTCTAAACAATGTGGGGAAACCCTCCCTCCCAAAGCTTTTAAAAAAGAAAAAGAAAAAAACTATCATTAGAAGTTAGCATGGATTTACAAAAATAAACAGGGGTGAGTCTTACTGTACAGATGGGCCCTCTCTATAGCACGCCTTTAAAATAGTAAAACCCTGTAATGCATTTAAAATAAGATGTGCGTGACTAAAATCTGAGAACACATCTTGGAATAAAACAAGGTATGTTTGCAAGTGAAAAGTGCTTTTCTTGAACTTGATTAGGACGAAGCAAAATTGCGATCATACTAATACATAAAGACAGGATGGATATTTGTCGAGCAGTACCTTTCCTCTAAGTTGACACTTTCCATCCAGGAAACGTGGAATTACAGGGAAGAGGGCTGGGGCTTGAGGCTCAAGTGGTAGAGTGTTTGTGTGAGAACCTGAGTTCAATCCCTAATAATACACACACACACAATTCTGGGGCAGAGAAGGAATTACAGGAAGAACTAAGAAAAGAACAGATCTGTGAGGGTTTTCTATAGCAGGAGGAGGAGGAAAGGAGATTGTAGACCAGGAGTCCTTCTTTTACAGCATGTGCTAAGGAACTCAGCCACTAAAGCTGCAGGGTTTTAATCCATGTTTCTTACTTAAGAGCCTTGAACAAAACTGACAATCTATTCAAGAGCAAAATTGCTAGTACTTATCAGCTGCTCGTAAGTTTTATCTTGCAATAATTTTGATTTGTGCTACATAGCAACGAATCCCATTTCTACGCCAAGATATGTCAGTAAGATAAATTTTCTTTCGAACAGTAACAAAAAAGTAACAAAAATCTAGCTGAAAAATTAAAATTCCACCTTGCACATAAAACGTCTTTGTTGATAGCACTAGCTAGCCAGTGTTGGACAGAACTCCCCAAGCATGCGCTTCACACACCATGTAACCACGTAACATTTTGTTTTTTTGTGGAAGGCTCCTAACAGAGTGGTCTAGTGCTGACACAGTCCTGGAACTCCTGCCCACAGAGGAGGAGGATTTTGGTGAATGGAGAGAAAGGAAAGCTCACATATGGTACACAGCAGGACAAATGCAATGCCCGTGACTTATCTGGAAGAATTTGCTCCACAAGCCATGGGAAAGGCATTCCTGATGACAGGGTGTTGCTTGGATGCCACACACAAGTATCTGTCACACAACCCACCACATACTCACAATCTATAAACCACAAGGTGATGCTCATGTAGAAAACCAGATCAGGTCTCAGATTCATACCACCCAAGGGGAAATTTACAAACCAACAATTTCCACCCACCAGCAAAACTCCTCCCTGCTCAGACACAAACACTCAGGTTCAAAGACACACAGACGCCCACACGAACCCCCTGGCTCTTCCACTACCTCCTCCCCTTCCCCAGTAAGGCCTTGGCCCTTGTAGCATAGCAGCCCAGGATGGCCAGGGCCACTGATGGAAATACAGACAGGAGGGCACTTTGCCGGGAGAGAGGAAGGAAGCGGAAAAGAAAAAGAGCCCTTGGAAATGATTTTGATAGATTTTGGTTTCAAAAGTTATGAGCAAAGAATGGAGTGCCACTCTCAGAAGTATGTATACAGAGACGCCTTTTGCTCTCAAACTAAGTTACTTTCCACAACAATGCTTTTTAATACCATTAAATGGATGTATTTTGAAAAACTGAATACAAATTATTAGGCTTAACAACTTGGAGAGGAGTAATTTATCACTTCCATCAAGCAACTACTGAGCACCTACTGTGAACCGACTCCCCGAAATATAGTAAGACTAAGCAAGACTCAAGTTGTGAAGAAAGCCGACAAGCCAGTCTCACACAGTGCAGTGACCGCTTGGGGAACGCAAAGGAAGCATGCATCCTGTGTGCGCCTGTCCCTCAGTGCGCGGCGTCCAACACAAGGAGCCAGCAGCAGGGTCCGTTCTCACGGGGAGTTTTTGGAGGACGTGTGTATACAGGGACAGAAAAGGGGCGTGGGGATGGGAAGGCCCAAAGGCACTAGGCACCGGGCACTTGGGAGAGGGAGAACAATGTACAGTGTTGAGAGGTTAAAACCTCAAAAACGGGCTGGAGCTCCCACACGTGCCAGATCAAATCGTTTATGGACTTTAACCTTAAGACTACAGGAAGCTCCAACGTGACAGGGCCACACCTGCAGTTCAAGTCGCTAAACCTTGGGCTACACAGTAAACGTGTATCCACAGCAAGTAACTTCAATGTGTGCTTCAACACGCGCGAATTATCTGTAATTATTTCAGGCAAAAATGACTTCCTCCTTTTGAAATGACATATGTTTCTACTACTAATTACCAAAAATTACAGGCGTGCTCTCAATAAAAAGCTGACGGGAGTAAGTTACAGCTGGAAGCTGTACTCCAAAGACACGACCCGCGTCTCGGACCATCAGCCCACGCTTAACTAAACTTTGTATCAAAATTGCTTAAGTCTAAAGAGCTCCAGCTGCAAGGAATCGCAAAGTAGTCCATCTGCCCACCACTCTCGCTAAGACTTCTCCCTCCGAGTGAACTAGTAGGCAAGTTCTTCAAAACTAACTGCAAAGAACACATCTCCACTCCCCAGGGTTCTTGAAGTCTCACCACCCCACGGATCGGTACCCACAGCTGCGGAACGGGACTGGACACGGGGGTGGGGGGGATGTCTCAGCGCCCAGCTAGTGTCTACCTCGGTCCTGCAAGAAGGATCGAGTTGTCACTTTGGAGACACGTCCCGGAGGTGGGGGGTGACCCCGGGCACATCATCTTTGGGCGGGACGAGGGGAAGGGACTGGACGGTGGAGCCAGCACAAAGGGGAGGAGGGAGCGGCGCGAGGACGCGGTCAGCACAAGGAGAGGGTGGGCCGGACCCAGGGCGTGCTCGAAGGACACTAGAAAGGAGGCTCGTGCCAAAACAAAAACAACCGAAAGTTGAGCGCGGCGGCGGGAGCAGATTGGGCGAGGCGGTTCACGGCTGCCCATTGGAGAAGAGGGAAAACAGAGTCCCCAATCGCGAGCGGCAGGGCTGCTCCCCTCGTGCGGCCGCGGCCCGGACCCGGCGCTGCCCGGCGGCCACTACCGCTCCCTTCCGGCCGCGGCACCACTGCAGGCCGCGCGGCCGCCCGCCCCGGCCCGGCCCGCAGCCCCGCCCCGCGGCCGCTCGCCCCGGCCCGTCCCCGCACGGCCGCCGCGGCCCCTTACGCCACCGCCCGGCGCCCGCCCTCCCCGGCTCACCGCCGGCGCGGCCCGCGTCCTGCTCGGGGCGCATCCGAGGCCCGCCTGCCCCGCCCGCTGTGACGGGCGTCCGCGCTGCCGGGCCACACTTTCCCGTCCCCTTAGAAAATTAATCACCAAAAAATAATTCCAGAGAAAAATGGAGAGTAAAATTCAAGATGGCGGCGCAGACGCAGCACCGCCCGCTCCCTCCGCTGAGGGGAAAAAAGGAGTCCGCGCCGGCCGAGCCCCCCCCCCCCCCACCCGACCGCCGCCGACGACGCCGCTTCACCCCGCGCTCGGTCCCGGCCCCGGCCCGCCGCGCTCGGCCTCCCCCGCTCCGCGACCCCTCCACCCCCACCCCTGGCCGCACCTCCGCCTCGCGCGCAGCCGCGGGATCTGAAAGGCATTCACTGGCTCTGGGGCTTCGCGTCCCGCGTCCTCGCGCCGCACGGTGCCACCTCCGGTCCCCGGACGTTCTCACTTCATAACCCTGGAGGCTCGCCGGCCGCGCCGCAGACGCGTCGTCGCCCCCGGTGAGCCACCCGGACACCGCCCGGGCCCGGTGGAAGGACACGAAAAGGAGTCCGCGGCGGACGGCGGAGGGACACCACGCTGGCCGCCGAGTGTACGCGGTCCTGCCCCGTACCAGTCCCCGCGGTGGCTTCGACGGAATTTTGCGGAGGGAAGCGGAGAGACCCGCGACAGAATTAAGTTCCCTGCCGCGGCTCCAGACGGCGGAGGCACAAGAGCCAGTTTCGCGAGCACCGACCGCGTCGTTGCCGTCGCTGCGCCTCGCGGCGGAGGGATCGCGGCGAGCGTCGGCACCGGGATCCCTCCGCCCGGCTGCCCTTTAAATCGCGGTGGAGGCGGCGCCGCCGTGCGTCCCGCGGGCGCCACCTAGTTCTCGCGCCGCCTGCCGCCCCGCGGGGCCCTTGCCCGCCCCCGGCCCTCGCACACCTGCACCTACCAGGGACAGCTCCCGAGCTGCGACAGACACTGGGGGCCGGTCCGTGGGGCCGGGGACACTCCTCGTCCACTGCGCCTCTTGGGTGCGCCGAGGGGAGGCGGCCTCGGGAAGGCGAGTTTCTTTGTTGTGGGAATGGGTGACGCTGGGAGCTGATACACCCTTCAAGACCATGTGGGCAGCCCGAGCATTACAACACGGGAGGAGGGGAGGGATCGTGCATTTGTCTGCTGTTTCTTGTGTACCTACTAGGTGCCACCCTTCCCATGACACCGTGGTATTTCCACCCCGTCCCTCTTTGGGCTGTACCCGCACGGAAAGGCAGCCGAGTCCTCAAGGAGCTTAGGCGGTGCAGGAAGACACCAAGACAACGCCACTCCAGGGGTATTGCAAAGCCCCGCCCCTCGGGTTTTGCAGTCGGATAAGGTGTACAAAGTAACAATAAAGAGGGTAACATGTATTCATCCCTCATTAGGCACTGTTACGAGGACTATGGTGCACGATCTCATTCGCTTCTTACGATGAACCCCAGAGATGGGGGACATGGTAGTACCCAGTTTACACAAAGGGAAACTGAGGTACAGGCTGGTTAGGTGACTTCTAAGACAACTACTCAGGCAGGCCTGAAGCCAGAGTACTGCTACTCTGGTGGGAAAAAAAAGAAGACTACAAATAAATAATAAAGGATTTAAAGGAGAAGTTGAGGTTGCCATAGGCATGCAGATGCAGAAGCAAAGACCTGAATGATGAACAAGGTAAGAAAATGTGGATCATGGGAACAACAAGTGCAAAAGCTCTCCCAGGAGAGAGAGAGAGAGAGAGAGAGAGAGAGAGAGAGAGAGATAGGCCAGGCGACTGAGGCGATTCCAGGAAGAGCCCCAGCCTTCCTGCACCAGGGCCACAGTAGCCACTCCATAAAGGATGGCTCAATGGAGGTGGAGGTGACCATCACAAGGCTACCCTCATTCTCTTTCATTTTTGACTTTAAGTGGTGGACATGATGCTTCTAATTCACAGGTGGAGAATTGAGGCACAGCGATCTCCTGAGGGCACTTGGCATGTCTAGATCTTCAAAACCAGAGCTCTTGCAACTGGCCAACTTAGGGGTGGGCAGTGGGCGGAGCTTGAGCTGCCCTCAGGTAAAGGGGATCCTAGCACCTTGCTGTGTGCTTCCTGCCTTTTCCCACTAAATGCAGCGGGTCACCTGTGGCATCAAAATCCACCCTGCCACGTTCTCTCTGCAGATACAACTACCCAATAATTGCTTTCATCTTAGTTTATCACTGGTTTATACCAAACGTTTTTCCCCTGGGGGAAAAAGCCTCCTGCCTCCAATGGACACCCCGGGGCCCTACTTCAACCTTCCAGGATTTTGAGCCCAGACCCCAAGTCCAACCATGCCTTGGCAGCCCTTCTCAGCCCCAAAGGCCACTGTTCCCCACTGCAAGCTTTCCAGAGCCCACCTCAACACAGCAGTGCGCAGACCCTTCAAGACTGCCCCACACCTCCAGCTCTGTAAGGCCTCCAGCCTCACAAGATGTCAGCACCCCCATTTATTCTCTGCCCAATGGCAGGCCACCTGTGAGCATTGCCTTGCAGGGGAGCTGACTGGACCCCCATTCCGTGACAAAAGAGACAGAAGAGTGAACCTGGCTCAGCTTTCTCTCAGCCTCCCAGCCCCCTGCATTGTCTGCTGTCTTCTAGCCACAGCTGAGAGGCACACAGGGAGGCCAGGCATTTTGGCAGAGCTGAACTGGGCTCAGGACCTTGATGAGCCATTAATGGCTTGGGGCCTTTGGAGGTCCTGAGCCAGGGAGACCTGGGCTGAGCAGGACAGAAGGCACAGCCAGGGCCATCCTCCTGGGGGAAAATGGACTTCCCTGTGGTTAGAAAGGCCAGTTGGAGGCTCCTCTGCCAGCTGGCAGGAGAGGGGGAAGGGCACAGGTAATAGGTGCCCAGACACATGCCCAATCTCCACACAACAGGAGCCATTGGCCTTTACATTGTGAAGTTTCTGGATGCCTCACAGCAGGACAGCCAGTCACAGAGGCTGTGGCCCCCACCCAGCATGGCTAGACTGTAAGGGATTAGCAACTCTAAAGAAAGAGGGCACTGGCGGAAGGAGCTCAGCCAGCCCGGAAGCACCCTGAGGCTAACCAGGAGTGGCAGCCCAACCCTGGCTAGTCCTGGATCCTTGCCCTTGCCAAGACACTGGCTGAGACCACAGAGTCAGTTCTGGTCTCCCCAGCAGGGGTGGCCTTCATGTGTCCAGGAGCACGCCAGTCACCAAACCTGGAGCCACCAGCCCTGCCCTGTTCTCAAATTCCCGTTTTCCTAATGTCAGTTTCACCCAGTGAGTGGCTAGCAGGGATTCGTTTGCTGAGATCCTGTCTGGCTAGGAGTGCTTGCTGGTCATGCTGACCCTGAATTCCAGGCCAAGGACATTTGACTTTTGTACTCAGTGCACATGTCTCCCCTACCCCAATACAAGAATACTCTGCCGAGGGCAGAAAAGGGGGATTTATGTGGACATTCTGGTGACCCTCTGGGTGGCTGACTGGCTTCCTGACCAAATGCCTGAGCACTGCTACCACCCTGCACTATCCTAGCCTTCCACCTGCTCCTCAACTGCCACCCTCCTTCATCATCTTCCAAAGGATCCAGTGACACACTCTAGACCCCAGTCAACAGCCACAAACATTTCCAGCAGTGCCAGCAGGGGTGGGCACAGTCTGCCCAGGGTTTGAATCCCAGCTCTGCAACTCCTCATCAGTGTGATGTGGGGTAAATGATTTGTCTGTCTATACATGTACTGGGAAAAGGCGCCAGTCCTGGGGCTTGCTTAAGTAGTCCCATTGCTGGCTTTAAGATCATTTATAGGGCTGGGGGTGTGGCTCAGTGGTAGAGCACTTGCCTAGCATGCACAAAGTCCTGGGCTCCATCCTCAGCACTCCCCCCCCCAAAAAATCATTTATACACTTAGGATGTCCAAATTTGTCTCCAGCCTAGACTCTCCGAACTTCAGACATCACCACGTGGATGTTTAACAGGCATTTCAAATGGAGCACAGCTAAAATTGAACATAGGCACACACACAAGCAAAACCTGCTGGAGACTGCCACTTCTCCAACACTCTTCCAGGCACCTGACTCAATGCCCTGTCTCCCTTAGCCCTTAATGGCGTTCAGGTTGTTGCCCCTTAGCACCGGTGTGGAGCAGCCTGCCACCTTTCGCTTATTATTCATCCTGTCTATCAGCTGTCTATCTTTTCTAGCCTATAGGCTTCTCGAGGGAGGGGGCTTTGTCTGTCTCACTCACTGCTGTCTCTCCAGCTTCCAGAACAGCCCCTGGGGCACTGTGAAGAGGCTCCATTCATATTTGATTCATATTTCAGGCAAGAAGAGACAGAGGGAAGGGAGAGAAGGAAGGGTATTGTTAACCTTCCAGGATTTCTACAAGGATCAAAGGAGACATGAGAGGCATGCCGGTCCCCTCTCCCAGCTCTGGAGGCTCAAGCTCGTTCAGTCGATGAGACCTCTATGCCCACCCCCCACACGTGTAGCTTCCAGGACCACAGGTGGCCTGGGATTTGTGTGGGGAACGTCCATCTAAGACAATCAGATGACACCAGGACTAAGTCCTATGTTGCTGAGGGATGTTCCTCTCGAGTTCTCACAGCACACCGTCTTTTATTTCTCCCCTTCCCCCAGTGATGTTCAGCGCTAGCCAGAGCTGCTCTCTCACATATACCCCTAGAAATAAACACAGAGAACTATCTCAAACCATTTTCTGTTGCTGAAACAAAACACCAGAGGCTGGGTAATTTTTAAAGAATAGAAGTTCATTTGGCTCACAGTTCTGGAGTGTGGAAAGTCCAAGACCATATGGCGCCAGTATCTGGTGACTGCTTTCTCCCTGGGTCAGCACAGGGTGATACAGAGCAAGTATGCTAACTCAAGTCCCTTTTTCTCTCATAAAGCCATTCATGTTATCATGGGACCCCATCCTAATGACCTCTCAAAGCCCCACCCCATATAATTATCATATGCCTTAATCAGTTTCCTACACACGAACTTTTGGGGACACATTCAAACCACAGCAAGGACCAACAGCATTGGAACAGCCGGTTTCTGAAGAACAGGCAGACTTAGTTTTATAATTTTTAATAATTTCAGCCAGGGGTGGTGGTACATGCCTGTAATCCCAGCACTCGGGAGGCTGAGGCAGGAGGATTGAGAGTTCAAGGCCAGCCTGGGCTATATAGTGAGACCCTGTCTCAAATAAATAAATAATTTTAAACATGCAGAAATCTACGGTACAACACAAAGCATTTTTCGCAACACTCTCAGGTATGTTTCATTCCATGGACCGTCTCCTCCCACAAAACCCGAGTACCATGATCACAATGAAGAAATCCACATTGACAGCTGGCTGCTGTTTAATCTACCAGCCCAATTCAAGTTTTCCCAACGATGTCGTTTATAACAGAGGCGCTTGTGGAGAACCCTGCCTTGCCTTGGTTGTGGGGTCTTTGGTGCCCTTCCTCCTGGGTCAGTTTGTCGTTCTCCCCCTGGCTTACTGGCCTTGGCACTGCTGAGGGTCACGGGTCAGGCATTTTGTAGTTTGACCCCTGATTTAGGTTTTCGGATGTTTTCCTCGTGATGAGATGAAGGTCAGGGAACTTGGGCAGAACAGCACAGAAATGATGCCGGGTTCTTTCCAGCGTTCAAGTTTACCTACTGTGGATGGTCACCATGCCATGGGCTGTCTGCTGTCCACTAGAGAGCCACTCGTCTTCCATGGTTGATGTCAGTGGGGAGGCAATAAGGG